AACTTAAGATCAAGTAGGCCAGAGCGTGACCACCTCTTGTAAAATCGTTGTTGCCAATATTAGAATAGGAACTTTTAGTTCTATTATGTTCTGTGCATAAAACGTTAACTTTCTGCCGTGGAATCGGGGACGAAACAACGTATTTTGAGTCGAGGTAGTAAGAAAAAAATATTTCTAAAAAGTGAATAGATCAGTGTGTGGTATAAATTTGTTTCTCATGGTTTAAACAATGTCACTTTAATGCGTTTTAATTTTAATTCTGAAAACAAACCGTAAAATGGCCAGTGTCCAATTACTGGTTGGTAAAAAATGTAAATTTCTATTATTGGACGTATGTCCAATATCATACTCTATTTATATCCCGCACATTTACCGGCCAATTCTTATGTATAATTGTCCCCTGAATCCGAAAAGATCGTCAAATACTATAAAAGTTAAGCAGTTTTTAAGATATAGTCAATTTTATATTATATATAAAATTGATTATATTTCAAAAACGGTTATACTTTTATAACTTTTGACAACATTTTCGGATTCAGCGAATAATATTTCATAGGAATTGACTGCTAAATGTCCTGGATACAAATTGCTGTTGACGAGAATTATTACTTGCTGCTTTTTCGCTATGACACTTTTGACCAATTCATTTTTAGAGAGTAATATAGTGATTTCTTCGTCACAGGACATCTTGCAGAATAACAGTGATTTAAATACAGTGCATGATAGAGAACATAAAAACTAATGGCAACAAAATTAATAAATTCGGAAAATACTTTTAACATACCACCCGAAAAAATATTAGATATATATAAATCATCCTGTTCCGGCTTAAAAAAATGCTTTATAAACTAAAGATACCACACTTAATGATATTTGCAACAAACTATTTCAGAAGTCAGACCAAGGAAATAGTAGTTACCTTCAGAATCCAGAAAAGTGATGAGGAATCCGAGAAAGAAATTTAAATATTCTTATTTTTAAGTAAACGTAAATAAAGTTTAAACAATCAAACTATCCTTTTTATATAATTATAAGAAAACAGTCTTTAAAACAACGGCATACATAAATTTTAAATAAATAATATTCCCTAAGTGTCCAATAACTATGTGGTTTACCCTAAGTATAATGATTAGCGAAATAACGTCCATCTACTTATTTTGCTATCAACATAAAAAATCGTAGGCTCATTGAGGAAATTTCTACCCTTTTATCTTTTATCGCTTAAACATTCAATACGGGCATTTTAGAGGATACCGATATTTTTACAATTTTCTTTTGCTTTTATGGTTAAGGTTTTTATTATTTATTGCACACCTTTTTTCTCCTTTGCGCTGTATCAGCTTCTCACCCTTAACCTTCTACATTTATGTGTACGTACGTAAGTATCTCAGTCTGGCTGCAATTTTGTAGTGCACTAATGCGCGTACATATAGTAAAAGAGATTGACACTTTAATTTTACCTTCGTGGTAAACAATAATCAACCATTGGAAGTCGGACAAGGTCAGGATCATTTTTAAAAATACACTCAAGTGTACACAAATGTTTGTTGCAGTAAAATTTATTATGTAAGGTTAGTTAAGCTAATAATTAAATTGGAAAAAATACCAAAAAGCTACAATTATCATGACTTATTTGTCGACTTCGTTATAATTTAAAAAATCAATTCACAATTTTTTAACACAGGCAAATCCATAAACCCAAACCCAGAACAGGAACAGGAAACAGTTTTTTTTAAGATAAATAATAGTAATATTTTTTTAATTTGGACCCAAAGCTACATTACCAATGATTCTATATTTAAGTATTTGATTAATAAAATATATAGACGAATTTTAATGTTTGCATTTTTAAAATCATCTCACCAAAATTTCCTTATAAAAATTGCTGTCGACTAGTGTTATTATAGGAAATTGCTTTAACTCAATTAAAACTGAAATTATAAAGAAATACTACGGCTTGTTTCACAAGTATTGTTACTGTTAAATTAAATGACATAATTGTAATAGAATTACGTAAAACACTAACTGTAATCTCCAATAATTTTAATGAATTCTATTATGACGTCTTTCGTTGTCTTCCATATATAGTCAAATACATACAATTTTCGAGGATTTAAATGGAAATTAACAAAGGACTACATTCCCTTAAGTAAATAATATAATTTGTTAAAAAGCATTGGGAAGATTGTTACATAATTTATTTCTATAAATTTATGATCAAGACAATAAAGTATTTACAGTATTAATACTTAAACTTAAAATGATCGATTTTTAACTAAATTTAAAATCGATTAAAGAATTTAAAGGATATTTCGCTTTTTAATGTTGTCAATAATTTGTATTTAGGTTTTTAACAAACTTTCGAAATAATATAAGGTAACCGTGAAGATGTAAAATTAAAGATGTTTTATCATCACAAACATTTTGAATATTAGAGCATCACGGAAAATAGCTTCACGAAGGTTAGGATTTCGTATGTTTTTTTTAAACATCCCTTTGTATATTTGAAATAAGTTATTGTATCTTTTGACACATTAATATTTTTAAAAAATACAATTGTACATACATAAAATATTTATACAAAAATCTACTTACTGAGATATTACACTTTACGGTGGATAAGTTTTTAAATAGCAAATTAATGAACTTAAACTTTTGAATTATAAAACAGCAACACTCTCATCTGCATATAAATTCTAACTGACCTTCAGGAATCACATGCTGTTATTATTATTATTTCTTTTAATTTTTAATAATATTTTATATTTGATTCGATTGCTTTGGATGTGTTTAATTTACTTAGTGAACTGATATTTTTAGTGTGCTTTTACTACCTCAGATATTTGAAAACATATAGGTTAACCTAAAAAGAGTAACAGTCACGGAGGATAGGTTTTTTACTTTTAAAACATTGTAAAAAATAATTAATTGCGGTTAAAAATCTGGAACCTGAGCTGTAATATCTACTTAATTACGCAAGATCAAAACACAATAAAAGTGTAGGTAAAACTCATTTAGTTTTATTAAATATCACGGGGTAACACCATCGGGGGACATTTCGTGGGATTCACCCTTATTCGTCAGTACAGGCAGTTGTATATAAACTACATCACAAAATCAAAGACTGTGTCAATTAAAAACCCAATTAAAATTCTCAACTAATAAAAAAACAATTTTTAAATCACTAATTAGGTATTTATAAAATCTCCCCTCTGAGAACGGTTGTTTTTTGTTTTTGTGTGTAAAACATAAAACATTTGTAAAGCTGGTCATCCTGTAGGCTTAAAAGCTGTTTAAAATGTAGGGTCGCTGAAAGATAACGAAATTATTTTTATCTTTCTTTTTTTTGTTGTTGAAGAAATTAAATTATAATTATAAAAAGTAATTAGCTTTAGTAAAGCTATTATACCAACAATATTTTTATATTAAGATATATTACGATATATGTTTTTACAATTTAATCCCGGCGCATTCGCCATTTTTGCAACAAAAAGAAAATTGTTTCATATTTTTTTACTGGGGAAAACTTTTGATTTGAACAAAAAAAAATAGACAAACTGACTCTCTAATTTTAAAAGCTGGTAAAGCAGATTCCTAGCACCGTATCGGCTACTATATTTTTGTTTATAAATTAATTTTTAAAATAATATTTGTCGTAGAAAAAGAATAGTATACTATATATGCATATATGCAACTTGTTTATAAACTTTTCTAGACCCTCATTTTATTAAACACTCGCTCGCAAGCTTCGCTCGTGACTAATATGGTTTATTAAAATAATATACTATTATCTTATTCTACATTTACTCCACTAGTGTATTATGTTAAATAAAACCAACAAATGTTAGATAAAATGTCAATAAAATGTACTTATCTATTTTGCGTTCATAATGACATCATTGTAACACCGCTTTCGGTGTAGTAATGAGGTACTTTACCCCAGCCAAAATTTTGATTTTATATGTTGGCTATACTTTAAACAACATAATATTTTGAATATTGGTTATAAAATTTTTATGATTTTTCTAGTACTTACGAGACTTTTCTGGAAATAAATTTTGTTTAACACCAAAGAAAATCCTTTTTTTCTTCTTTAACATTAACTGCCGCTTATTGAAAATAGGTAAATTAAGGACGGCATGGTGAATCGATTTTGAGATTAACTGTCAAACCAATGACTGTAATACCAACGATCTAAAGTAAAATTCGACCAAATTAAATATAAGGTATAAAATTATTTTTTTTATAGAATTTTTGCAAAATAGATAAAATAGCATAAAGAATTCATGTCATAAGACCTTTTGTCGCACTTGTCCATTACACCATGCGACAAAATGACGTCTTATGACATTAGTTATTTAATTCGTTTTAAAAATTAACCATTAACTTAAATATTAAATTAAACTCGTGTATTGAAGAAAGTTTATAAAATGTTGTATAAAACTAGTAAGTTAATAAGCTATAATAATACAAATTTTAATAGCATAGTTTCTCGGGTATTTTACGCCTAACAAAAATTTATTTAAATCGTTTTACATAAATATAAATCTTACATTTTTTATATATTACAAAGTTAAACTTCAATCCAAGACACAATCCTTTACAGATCACAGATTTATTTCTTTAAATATTTCTTCGACCCCAAATAAAATTTGTAAAAATCAATGTCAAACCTTTTTTAGAATTTCAGAATAAAATCTTATTAACCAAACCAACAACTTTAACGATTTAAATATGAAACCTTATAGAGAATTAAATAAAGATTTTAATGGATATGTCGGATTTTGAACAATCATATGATTTCGAGGTAAAAACTCTCTCTGTCTCATTTGTGAGAAATTATAATAATAATAATATTAATTATAATTATTAAAAAACTCATTTTTGTGAAAAACTTGGATTTATTCGTTTTTGAAAGCTGGCGTCCGATTTATGAAAACGCCGCGTCGACGCTGTGCGTTGTAACGTGCATACCTGTAATCCAGAAACAGTTGAAACGCGGCTGGCGCACGAACCATACCATGTGATAAAAAGTTGTGCGAAAAAAATAAATAGAATAAACTTTTTCAAGCGTTTCGTGAAAAGTGTCCAAACTTTCGCAAAAGTTCTGAAAAAAAATATTGTGAAAATAATAGGATTTTTTTGGCGGTATTCACCAAAAATAATAGGATAAACAATTAGAAACATTAAAGGTAATTATAAAAATAAGGCATAACAATAATTGTGTTTAATAATAGTGTATTTTTTAATTAAAGAAAAATAAAAATAATTACCACCACGCAATGCACTATTAAAAAATAACACGATAAAACTATAATTATTTTATTACAGTTTAAAATATAACCCATCGGTATGTATTATTATGGGTATATTGATTTGTATCGTAAACTATTTAAATTTCTCTACAAAAAATATTAACCTGGTAGTGGTTTTGACCACATTCCTATTTTTTACATAATGTCCACTTATATTCATATTTGTTTTTCCCTTGATTTGAATCAATATTTTATTACCTACATAACTTCAATAAAATTATTGACAAAATAATACAAATTCAATATTAATTTGTATTGTTTACAAAAGTGTTTCTCCAAGATTAAAATCTGATGTTTTTGTTCGTACCATTACATTACATTACAAATTATCTCTAATGTCTATTATTAAAAAAAAATGCCAAAATGGTTAAATAAAATTTTTTATTTACTTAGTTTGTTTTTAAGATTTCCCTATTATATCAGGTAACTTTGAATTGAATTGTATTAAAGTAAACATTCAGAAAAATATTTTTATTTAAAATTTTCCAGATTTTTGTTATAATTTGTTTAAAGATAACGCTTTTATTTTTAATGAGCTTTGTTTTTAAAATTCTGAATTTCGGTTACCTACAGTAAAATTTATAAAAACACTATTCGGAAATTTACCTATTTAGTCGCAGTCTACTCTCTAAAAATGAATTAGTCAAAAATAACTAATTTAATAGTTATTAGTGGCTGCTTTTTTACTTGTACCATGGTTAACCATGGTATCTCCAATATTTAATAGCCAATTCTTATGTAAAATTGAATCCGAAAATGTCGTCAATTAGTCATTTTTGACTAATTCATTTTTAGAGAGTATGAAAGTAGAGCAGTTTTGAGATATAGTCAATTCTATATTATATGGAAAATTTACATTTTTTGATTCAGCGGAGAATTTTACATGTTAGTTGACTGCTAAATATCCTGGATACAAATTGCATTTTAGAGAGTAATATAATAAATAATATAAAATATGTATACGCAAATTGTATATTTTAAGTATAAATATATTAATGTAGGTTTTTTAATAGGTAACTTTCAAAATTTGCTCTAATTTACTAAAATTTACAAGTAGTTAATAATTGCTAATCAAATTAAGTAATAAAGAATTTTAAAAAAATTATGCAAACTGTGTTTAGGTTTATATTTTTCTGTAGGCATTAAATATGCTAAAATTTGCATATTATTAAACACGAATAAAGGCAATTACTAATTATAGCCATGCATAAACCTTGGTAGATTATTTTAATATTAAATATTAAAATTTTATCAAGCTTAAAATTTAATATCCATAGGAAAAGAACGGCTTTAGAAATCCAGAAAATTGGGGACAGCTTTAATAAAACTTGTTTAAATACAAAATGTACATTCGATGCCACAAGGTTTTCGAGATTTAATTTTTTTATTGTTTTCATTTGTTTTTCGAAGTGCAATGGGCTCGAGTATTGAAAATAAAAAAAAAATCGGATAAAATACTAAAATTAGTTTTTAATGGTTTTATAAGGTGTATTTTTAGACCGCAACTCCATGCTCAAGGAATCTCCTCCTTCTCCCACTAGTAGCACAATACACTAGTATTACACTCAGAAAAATGTACATGCACTGATAATGAAACTAATTTTGTAAGCGATTAATAATAATAATATTATTTAACTTAAATTTAAAAATGTAATGGCTATAACAAGATATACCACCTAAGGTACCTGTTTACTTAAATTTTCAGTGTCTTATTTGGGACAAAAACCTACGATTTGTCAAAGTAATAAGATTATTTTTATTTACAGAATAAACTTTTTTTACTGTTAATAAAATTCTCATTTACTATAATGAAGCAGCAATGTTGAGCTTTTATAAAAGAGATGTTCATCCAACAAAATAATAGTTGTTATCATATTGTCATAGCAATAAGAAATACTTTATGTTTATATTAAATCTTTGTCGAACTTAAAATGTTTTTGTTAAATCTATAGTTGTGTGTGAATTGCGCTTACATAAAGTAATGCGCAGTTGTTATAGTAAAATTTGTTAATATTACTAGGGCATATTTGTCTTTTTTAAATTACTATCGTTGTAATTCAAATTAATTTTATTTCAGTTAGAAAATCTTTGTTAATAGCTTACGTTACGTTACGTTACGTGCTGTTCTGAGAGGTGATTTTTGGACTTTCTGTGAAACCTAATTTTTTTTATATTCTTGTTAATTAGGTCATAACTAAAATTTTAAGAGCAAAAATTTGACGGTTAATTTTGTTTTAATTGGATGTTTATTAAAAATATGTATGCACACTTTCAATTCTCCAATTAAAACTTGCGATTTTATTTAAATATTATCATAACTTTTTAAATCAGATTAAAGATAAGTTTTATTTCCTAAAAAAAGGTCTATACATTTTTTATATCTTTTACTGTTTTGTTGTAATACACGTTTAAAGTTTTAATTTAAGGTTAAATGTATAGTATACATTTATTAAACAATAATTCTAAGGGTGCCACATTTTATTTAGGGCCGATTTATTCATTTTTAATTTATTTGACGAATAATTTCTTTGGATACTAGATATTGCCATATGAATAAACCGCTCCTTAGTTAAATTTCATGAATTTCTTTTACTACAATTTTTCATTTTTGTTTATAAAAATCACTTTAAAAAACTAAACAAAAATTATAGAATACGTATAGGTACTGAAAATGACAATTCAAACGTCAAATAAATTTTTAATAGATCTAAGTTTCATGGCAACCTTTAAGGATATATTAATTAAGGGAACATAAATGTATACATCAAAAGTTAGATTAAAAGTTTGAACGTTTATTGCAAGAAAACAGTAAAATATATAAAAAAAATTGTAAAAACCTTTTTTTTAGTTATGCAAATATTAAATATTTAAATTAAATCGCTAGTTTTAATTGGATAATTGAAAGAGTGCATAATATTTTTAATAAACAGCCAATTAAAACAATTCAAACCGTCAAATTTTTTTTATTTTGCTCTTAAAATTTTTGTTATGAGCTAATTAACAAGAATATAAAAAAAATTAGGTTTCACAGAAAGTCCAAAAATCACCTCTCAGAACAGCACCGGGGTTAAGAACATTAACAAAAATATTGTATTGCTATAAAAAGATTTTTTTTAATATTTACCATTGTTTTGCAATGGTAGCAAATTTTTTGTTATATCCCTTAAAAAGAGGGGAAAGGGCCAGCGCTCCTTGGTGAACATAACTTTATAATCCACAGTCTGTTTTATAATCTTATTGATTTCACTTGTGCGAGTGAAGTGTGGTAAAATCTAGCATGATAAAAATATCAAAAAGATCACTAAGAAAATTAAAATTTAGACGTTGTCTTAAAGAAATATTTAAGGTCTATTCTATAACGAAGCAGACTTGTCGTTTAAAATGAAAATAGTTTATTGAATTAATTAATTTGTTGGTAAATTTACATAAATTTTATTAATATTTTAAAAAAGGTTTTATTTTAAACGAAAAGGGATTTGTAAAATTTACAAAATTTCTATGAATAATACCATTAGGATTTCATTAATACTACAAAACTACAGAACTGTTTTTTTTTGACAAATAATAACTATATTAATCAATGCGTTTCTGCATCTGGAATAGTGTTATTTTTATAAACTTAACGTAAATTTACTTTATAATTAATGCAAATGCTATTACTGAAAGCAGCGTTTGTAGATAAATAATTTTTATAAAAATGATCTTTTTGCTGCAACAAAAGCAATTGTTGGACGAATAGGGATCTTTACTTTATTAAGACAAACTACTTTGTTGTTATATTTATTTAAAAAAATCTGAGTGTATTTATTAGATTGACTGTAAAAAAATATTATTTTTTATCTTTTAACTGGAACATATTGTTCTATCTAGTCCTTGTATTGTCGTGTCAATTTCTCATTAGGTTTTTTAATAATAATGAGTGGTTTCCAAGATTGCAAACAACGATGTGCGAATGAAACTTAATTTGCATGTGTATGTTTAAACCATAAACACACCAATAATACGGCTACGACTTCAAAGAAATGTTTTATTGGCTTTTAACTTTACGATGTAAAGGGGGTGATATTTATTGCCTGACTGCTGTTTTATGTAGCTGAATATTTTTAAGGCAATAATTGATTTATGCCTATTAAAACCGTCGAGATTTCGCCATAAAGTTAATTGTTTGCACAAGAAACTAGGAATATAAAAATTATTATTTTCCTGTGTCTAAAAATATCAAATAATATTTATGTATAGGTTTTTTACATTTTGTACCTGACAAAAGACAATATCCATCTATTTTAAACCTGAATCACTTTACCAGGCAATTTATTACCAGAAATTGATCCGCCAATAGGAACTGTTCAGCCGCCTGCTGTCTATTTATAAACCGCAAAATAGAATTGCGGAACTAAAAATCCGCATAGTCCGCAGAATAGATCATATCTTTGATCAACGAACGGCTATACTTAGTGCCACTTTCGAAATAGCACTGCCGCTGCTACTTCATTATTAATATTGTAACCGAAACACAACTAGCTAAATAAATTCGATTTATATTTTCAATGAGTACAACAATATATTTACCGTAACTTTAACAGTCAAAACAATATTATACATATACATAAACTATCCTGTTAATAATGGGATAAACTTTAAGTCTAGATTTGTGAGATTAAAATATGATTATTTGGGTCATTTTCAAGAAACACCCGCTTTTAGGAAAATGAAGACCAAAATTTTTTTTGCTTAAATTGACTTTTGATTGGATTTTTATAAATGTTTAGAGTTTTGTTTCAAGATTTCAAGAAACACCCGCTTTCAGGAAAATGAAGACCAAAATTTTTTTTGCTTAAATTGACTTTTGGTTGGATTTTTATAAATGTTTAGAGTTT